AAAATAATTGATATAGAGGAGAAAAATCATCTTTATATCTTGCGTATTTTCAGATAACGTATCAGAACGATAAGATATCGCTTGTTGATTATGGTAATTTTTTTAAGCTTTCAGATAAAAATTTAAAAAGTAATAATACAGTAAATTGATTTATTAAAAAATTAATAATATCTCTCTTTTGTGCGTTTCTGTATGCGTATTATGTAATTGATATTTGTTTATACTAATCCTGCTTTCTAAAAGAAGGCATGTATAAAATCGATTAATCTCATTTCTCGAAGTTTAATGTTATCGTTTTTCCGTGATGCCGATTTTGCTTCTTTCATTACTTTGTGAGTGGCTCTTCTCGTATATTTTGATATTTGTGTATATCAAGAGATTAATAGTGTAATATTACGTAATTGTTTGCATTTAAACGTTCTCAAAAGCGCGCTCAAAGCACGTGTTTGTGTGTCTAAATGTTCGTTATCAAATGCACTTACAAATTAGATAGCAACTTCTCACATTTCGTAAGTTAGATCACGTATGTCCAATATTTTGGATATAAACAGGTAAATAACCCTATCGATTTAACTAGCACGTAGAGCCCGTCATAAATCGTCATCGTCAATTTATTCAATGCAATCACAAATTAAATCATGTTTTTCTAAATTTTCACATTTTCCCCAATTTGGTAACACATTTCCTATATGTATCAAAGTTGGTCGCGAAGAAATAAACTGAGAAATGTGATTCTGCTGAATTCTACAAGAAATTAAGGCTTACATTAAATTATGCATTTGTAGATGAATGCACTTGGCAAAGCAATAAACTGCATAAGTACAAACATATAAAAATTTTTATAAAAACAATTGAAATTTATTTTAAACAATACAATTATTAGGCTATTAGACTTGACTATTAGAGCTGTTAGAAAAAAAAACTTTTTATATTGTTGATACATGAACATATCTAATATTTGATACTAATAGCGTAGTATTATTTATAGCATTAATTATAAATTATAAATTGTATAAATATTATTGACATGTATTTTAATTTAAATATTTGCCTAAGAACATCAGGTAATTAAAAACAAAGTTATGATTTAACAGCAAAATTTAAACAACATAATATTATTTACAGAGTCATACATTTTAATACAGAATCTCATGCTTGTCTTCGACCTTCCCAAAACAATTTTTCTGTATATTTTTTTTTGGTATAGTCGGCATTTCGCATTTAATAACGTTCCGTGATATTGCGCGGACATGGCGGCGCAGAGAGGTAATCAACATTGACTGTATGAGAATTTTAGTAAATAATTTTAGTAACGTGAATTGCAATATTTGTAATAAAATGTATATCAGTGGCCGCTCTATATACTCATTAAAAATACATTTACATCGTAAACATAAAATCTTTAAAAAAGAGGACTTCTCAAGATGGAACGACATCCACAATTAGTTATATAATAATATAAGTTAAATATTTCTTCATAGCAAAATTATATGTTGCAAAATGCAAAATTTGTGGACGTTTACTTCAAAGTGCATATAACAAACCTACTTTAGAAAAACATCTGGAGCGTGATCATTCATATGTATTAGTTGCGATACGAGAAGAAATAGCAAATACCTGACTGTCGCCACATTTCACATTTGAAAAATATAACGTAATTTGTATACGTTGCAATTAATAATTTTTTGCATTAAACTTTTTTATCGGTGGAAATGCATTTAAAAATATTCATTTTACATCATTTAGAGTATATCTATGAAAATTTATCGCAATTGAGCGTGGATCATTTTCAGAAGTTCAGATGTAATTAATTCTCATTCACCTCAAAATGATTTGCTTTGGACTGTCATCCGATGCCTCGTCTCAATTTTTTTCTCGCTCTCGTCTTTCTCCTATCAGATTGTCAATGTACGTGGGACTCACACAACGCTGGCAGGAATATCGCTAATGAATTACGATCGCGCGCGAACTCAGAATAGTAATCGTAAAATATAACCACTCTTTTGTATTATCTAACACTTGTCGCAATAGCAAAAAGAAACGAGATATACAGAGTGTTCTCGTTATTATCTACACATTACTACCTTGCTCATTCGAGCGTCGTCAAACGTTGCGAGCTGAATGATAGCAAGTGGTAGCACACCGACCGCCGCACGTACGCCACCCAAAAACAATGACCAAAGCCATGCGTCAAACGGTCTTACTACGACGAAATGTTTAACGGATCTTTAAACTCTGTATAATCTATTCGTTATTTGTATTTTGGATATTATTTAAATCTTATTTCGTAATTCATTTATAACTTGTCTAATTATAAGATAGATTCAATTGCAACAGTCTCTCAAAAAATAACATATATTTCAAAATAAATAAATGCTAAACAATTTATTCATTTTAGATAGTTTTCAATGTGTGGATTACTATACATATATTGCGAACGTTTATTGCTTTGGGTCTTCTTAAACTTGTTACAATTCATCTATGATAAATTTACATATAGTTGAAGTTTGGAATGTTCTTAAAACGAAAATTAAACATTGATTAATATTCAATAGACTTATAAAATGAATATGATATTGAATATGTGTACTTTTAACGTCATATCCCTGGAGTGGTTATCGTCAGAGAAAACATCCATCGGTACATTGTTCAGTGAGTACTGAAATGTATCGGACACCGGTTAATTCATCACCGTTACAAAAGGTACTATAAAATCAATAGCAAATATTTGTTAAACAAATATTGCATAAATAACAAATATAAAATAAACATATTTTTACGAGAAGTGGTACATTTTATATTTATTATTTGTATAATTTTACTTTTTTTTTTAAAGTCAGTGTATCGATCTTCTTACACTTCCAGTATTAATTGTACGCAATGGATAATTTCGCTATTTCGCTGAATCATTTAGAATAAAACTAACGCGTTATATATGCAATAAGAATAAATGCAATTAATAGTCATTGATGTTTTTTATTAAATAAATTTAAAAAAAATTTACGACATAACTAAAATTTTCCTCGTTCTTTGCATTGCAATATTCACGAATCCATTGCCTTCAAATTAAAATAAACAATACTTTTACTCGCAATACAAAGCGCAACAACGGAGAATGATATATGCTCCTTATAACTATATTTTTTCTTTTTACATTTATTTGCAATCGCACATGTATTAATTATCAAAATATTACTTGAAAGATAACAATATGTAGAGCATTCCGTGCAATTACGTGCCATTTCGAATCTGCGTGAATGCGTAACACAGAGAACTTGTGTAAATACACGTGTATATACAACAGCGCGCTGTATACTGCAAAAACAAACATCAAGTTTGTCGTTACTACGAAATATTTAGCTCTTTGTAAAATAAATGTAGAGTATCTTGTTCATTGCATTTTATATTAAATCCGGAATGCCGCACATTTTGCGCTTTATTCTACATTTATCAGCATCTGATATAACGCATTAGTTTTAATTAAAGTAAAATGAAGTCTCTATTTCAATCTCTTAAAATTATGTAATTAAAATTATATAGTATTGCAAAAAACAGTTTATATAAAATGCTATGTATATTATATAAAATTATAAAAAATTATATCATTTTTGGTTAATTTAGGCCGATATATGAAATCTATAAAATCGACTATGAAATCGATTCTATATATACGAGTATTTAAGATTGCCTTAAGTATAGTTTATGATATCATAAGCCAATCCAGAGCCGTAACATGTATCTTAAGACATTAATTAAAATTTTTTCTTGAAATAAGAACGAACTTAGAATACTAGTCTTAAAATCAAATTATTTTTTCTGCTTAAAAGATCAAATAGATAATGATAGAAATAGATTTAAACTTTATTAAAATTTTATTTAATTTTATAGTAAAGTTATCGTTTCAATCGGACCCATATTTGAGCTACTATAGAGAAGTTATCTATTTCTATTGTTTCTTGATAATATGTCTTACTTAAACATTAAATACAATTAAATACAAATCTGCACGTATATGTTTTTTTAAATTTAATTTATCGAGTTATCTAATCTAAACTGAAAATTATAATTTGTTAGATATTTTAGTATGTTTACAAGAAATATTAAAATTATTTATATATAAAAGACACAAAATCTCTAAAATTAAAATATTACATAATAAATCATACATAAACTAAAAACATTGTACGATAATATTAATTTTGACTAAATATGATCAGAGATAAACATTACTTAAAGATAACTGTTAAATTATATGCTATATAATATATAATAAATTATATACTATATAAATAGAGTAAAAACAGATAACAAATTTGATACGATCTTTACGAACCAAAAACACAACAGAATTGTATTTCTTCTTATCTAATTCTATCGGATCTTTTAAACAGGATTTGGTCGTGTTCCGACATACTGCCAGCAGTGAAAATCTGTATAATAGTAATACACGTAACGTGAACTATATAGATTTTCAGTACTGACCGTGTATAACATGGCCTTTAATTAATGTAACAAAATACAATCGCGCAAAATGTACAACTAACTTCGTAAAGAACAAGTTCACTCTTGTGATATGAAAATGTACAAAATGTGCGTGTTAGTAGTGGTTAGAATTTAAAAAAAATTAAATAATAAACACTACATTAGAGATCATACGTGTACATACATTACAAGCATTACAAAATGGATATTAAAAATACTAAAAATAAAAATACCCGGCCTCCTAAGAGGATCAATTATTATTCAGATATTATTATGGGTAAGATAGATTCTATTAGATTATAGTAATATATACATAAATTATTTGAGATCAAAGCGTGCTTGATTATACAGCGTATTAATTATATTAAATAATTTGAATCGTAGGGACAAAACTAATTGGTTCACCTACTGCCCCAAGAAAGACCAGCCTTGCATGGCAAATTCTCACAGATCGGTATAGTCCGATTGTAAAAGACCTTAAAGTACGAAACACGCAAACTGTCCTTGGCGCCGCTGAGCGATGGATAACGTTCCCTGAAGATAAATCTATCGTACGCAAGTACACACATGATCAAGCATATAGACAATTACTTAGATTTGATTAAGATTTGTGTCGTTGTCGATATAATATTATTAAGTAATTAACACGTCATGAGTCTATTAATTGTAAATTAATTATATTTTACAAAAAACTGTACACATAAAATTAGAAATATTTTTTAGTCTACGCAATTAAAGATCTATAGCGATATTTCCTAACATTCCTTATATTTTATAATTTGTATTTGACTTAACAAATGCATATAAATTATAAACGCAAGATTTAATTTTCAATAAAATATATCAGAAATTTCCGAAATTTCTATTTCTTTACGAATAAAGGCATTTCCGGCGGATACCTTTTTACCAAAAGTACAAATGGCATATAGTGCTGATCCAAAAATACCACCGCGCAATGTTGAAATGGAAAGAAGACGAAGAGCATACGAAAATCTCAAAATAGAAGACGCCTTAAAAGCGGAAGGTGTCAAGACATATGACATGTTACCAGTTGAGAAAATTCGTCCACTACTTTCTTTTGAAAAGAAATACGATTTATATTCCAAGGCAAGTTACTTACCGTTGGAACTGTTTGACGACGAAGAATATGATTGTAGGTGAGAAATCCGTTGTTATACAATAACTATATTTGTTTGATATTTGATTAATGTCCATTCTAAATATTGCTTGTCAGTGTTATCTCACTTCTAATTAAATAATTTAGTCAAAATTTATGACATTTTCATATTAATTAAGTTGAAAGTGTAATAATAGCATGTACGTAATAATAGCAGCAAGGATAGTAAAATAGATATAACTAGGGTTTAAATTCCATGACAAAAAAATATAATAAATATAAAAATGCTGAATATAATATATTACATATAAAAATATATATTTTCAAGATCAAGAAAATTAAGAAGAAGTGTAATCTATAATTTTGTAGTCATGTAAAAATTGTTGTTTAAAACATCAAATATATAAAAAAAGTTATTTCCATTATGTACAAATATTTACTATATATATATATATATATATATATATATATATATATATTATGAATATAGATTATATTAAGTAACACTCTTAGTTGTTTAATTATTATTTTTAATTTTTTATCTACAAATGCATCAATTATAATATATCTGTATTATAATTGATTAAAAAACATTATTATTGCTGTATAGAATGCTTAAAAACAAAATAATTTATAAAAACTCTTCTAAATAAAACATAAAGCTTACATAGTAATAAGAGAGATTTTCTTGCTATTACGTAGCATTATACGATGTGAAATGTAGTATGATGTAGCTTTAGAGAATAGTCCAAGAGTAATTTGTAGTATGAACATAATTTCACGTATTCGGTACGCTTTTGGTAATAAATTCATAGCAATTTTACGCCAGAAAACGAAATTTAATATATTGTAGCAAATATGGGGTATTAAAGTAAGTTGCGACTTGAGTATCGTCAAGTGGAGCTTCCGCTTTAAAGAAGCACTATCGAAACTTTTATATACAGCAGAAATAATTCATATATTAAAATTTAATGTTATAAAATAAAAGACTTAAATTTATGTTCAAAATTTATATAAATTTAAGCTTACTTAAAATAATGTTTGTTTCACAATTTTGTTGATTGTGAAAAAATATATCGCTTATACAGAGAATGCTTATAACATATCTTAATCTTTAAACAAAATTGTAAAATAAACAAATATTATTTAATAATTATAATTTGAATAAGACCGCTTATGTGAATAACACAACTAACTTCGATAGCGCCTTTTCGCGGTCACGGCTGGATCTTAGATGCCTATAATATATTCTACATGAATTTTTCTGAACTCCATGTACGCCATTAAACTGTGTGCCGATTAAATGTTTGGCCTTGAAACGCAATTATTAGCTGGAATAGAAATATCATATTGATCTTCCTAATGAATCAATGCTTATAAGCATCTTAAAATGCTGAAAAGAACTTATTGCGAAAAATATTACTTCAACCAGGATAAATATTATTTATATTAGAAATATTATTTATTTAACTAAGTTTACATTTATATAAATCAACTAATCGTAAAAAATATATCACTATATCTATTTATAAAATAAATATCTATAAAAAACTATCTAAAACCATCTATAAAATATCTATAAAAAACCATCTAAAAAAGATGCTTTTGAAGAAATACAAACTGATGCAGTTTGTATTTCTTTAAACGTATCTTTCGTTATTTCAAATAATACTATTTTCGCAATTGTTAACATATTTTCTTTTATTTTGCAATTCAATAGAACGGCAGAGGAATGGATAAATCTGGGAATTATCAATGGTGTTCGTCATCCGTTACCGGCCACAGTATTTGTCGAAAGGACAAGAATAGATAAGAAATGGATATTTGATCACGATGATAATACATTGACTAATTTGTTCGACTGGTTCCACGCTGCTGTTACGGATTACGATAACGAATGGAAATTATGGACCGTTGTCACTCTGGACGGTTTTAAGCGAAAATTTCTTCTGCCTAGAATATACATTCGATTTTTTGCAGAAGATCCTGGAAAATTTGCCAAGAGAGTGGCTGCTGCTATAAAACAAAGACAAATTGCAGAAATTAATGTTAGGTTAATTCATTAGGTTAAAATATTTTATAATCTTAATATTTTTATACAATGCGCAATGTAATAAGAAAAATTAATTAATTAATATAAAGTTATATGAGAGATAGAATATATCTATATAAAAAATACAAAGTGAACTAATAAAATAATACTGAAATTAAAGAAGATTTTTTCGATCCATGTATGTAAAAAGAGAATATGAATTTACCAATATATTTAAAGATTACAATTTTTAAAAGGCTTAAAAAGAAAATTTGAAGTATCATATACAAAAATAAATAAATTCCGAATTTTTATATTCTTCAATAATTCTAATAAAAAAGCTTTGAATAATTCAAATTTTTCTATAAAGACAATAAAATTAAATGTATATATAATTTTATGTAGGTATCAATTTTATTTGGACTGTATGCTAGTAGAAGGTATGCCAACGCTGGATGAAAAGCAACAGGAAGTTATAATCCTATCAGCCACGCGAAAAGGTCTTGTAAAGTGTGAATCCAAATATCTTACAAATGTAAGTACACTTTCTACATATTTTCTTCAGTTGCTAATTTTTTAATATTCAGTTAATGGCCGAAGTCGTTTTGGAGTATCGTCACGTCATGTGCGACCTTATGTGGAGATCTCTCATATGGAAACAGCCGGAAGTGTTTGATTTTATTACGTGGAATGACATTAATAGCACTCACGAAATTAGGATACCAGAAATGAGAAAGTTGTGCACTGAAATGGAGGACTTTACGGTATTTACAAAGAATTACATGTATTCACGTTTGACGTGCATTTTACTCAAGAAGCTTGATTTATTGCAGAAGACCAAAAATTTTGTACACTGGACAATTTTGTACGTTTTGCCGGAGGTATACGAAGCTATGGGTTGTGTAGCCATTGAATGCGTTAACATATTGAATGTGAATCTCTTCGTCTCAAATTACGGAAAATCCATGGATCTGTCGGAGTTCGAATCGCAGCAGCAGCAAGAAACTGATACAGTGATAAAGTATCTAAAAGAAATGTGGTTGGAGAGGATTACGCAGTCGGTCAGACTGTGTTTAAGAGATATCGGGAAAGGATGGTTCGATCTCGGGCAAAAAAATTATGATGTATACGATGTAATGAAATTGAAACGATTTATGACTCTTATTATATATCGAATGCAGGTACTTTAAAGTATTTAATTGGACTTAATATAATTGTTTTACTTTTAATACACATAATAAAGTGTGTACTCGAATGCGATTGCTTATTTTAAGTTGTTAATATGTAGATTTAAGTACAATTTTACATTAATTATGTTATTTTATCTTGCTACAGAATGCGCTTCGGAATCTCATGAACAAATCGATGACCTTTTATTTAGAATTATTAGAAACTCCGGCTCTTTGTACATTAAATGTGGATGAAAATTTTGTGTGGGGTGATGATCTCGTAAATACACACTTTAAATCTCCAGTGAATCCTATCTTTAATATTGAAATCGCTATGAATGCCGAAACTGCTTATTATTTAACTGATCTTGAATCATTTGAGGTATGGATAATATACATACGGATATTTTCTTATGTTTTATTTATATACTAATCACTCGTTTATAGATTCTTTATAACAAAGAATGTTTAAAATACAGCACACACACATTCAAAGTATATTCACTTGTTTATTTGTTAAATTAATTTTAATATTTACTATTTAAATTGTGCGTCTGAATATTAAATATTTAAATTAGTTTATTTCCAGGAAATTATTGTAGCCATATTAGACAATTCTTTAAGCCAGTGCCATAAAATTAGGCAAGTTCACCCTTTCTTGTTACCCTTCTTGAAATTTCCCAAAGATCTGTATCTCAGCTCGGTCGGCTTACTGGAGAAGCAGGTTTGCGAAGTACGAGAACGCCTGCGGACGGCTTATCAGAAGTCTGTAATACCCCTAAAGGCATACGCGAGAGAATATCAGCAATATTTAGGAATTTACAAATTGGACGTCGAAAAATATGTAGAGTGAGTTCAGATCGCTTCAGGCGATATCAGGAAGCTATGTAATTGGATTTCTGAATTAGAATAGACCGCGCGCGATTGATTAATAAAGCGGGAAAATATTAACTATTTTTTTAATCGCGTCACTATTTTTGCAAAGGGATTTCAGAAAAGCAGATCACACCGTCGCGGAAATCAGGGACGAAGTATCGTTCCACTTTAAGATGAAATCGATCCTCGAGCTCGCACTGCCAAAGAACATTGCCATAGGACCGTTCTTTGTAAACGTTCGTCCCCTTCGAAAATTTCTCGTACAGAAACGACAAAGCTGTTACACGCAGTTGCTTATTATGTTTACCGACGGCTTAAGAAAGAAGATCGATGTTGTTCTGTCTGATTACGTGCAAATCAGAACGAGGCTAAGAGTAACGTCACGCAATATAAAACATTTGTTCGAAGAGCGGGATTGGATAGAGACTATACCGCTGACCGTGAAAAATCTGGACGAAATTGTACAAAGGTTGAAGCATGAATACGATATTCTTGATCACTTCTGGTGGAATCTATCCGATGAAGATTTCGAAATCAAGTGGCAAGCTATCGGTTTTCCTCGGCAAGTGCAATTATATGTAAGAATTGCCAATTGTTTTGTACAAAGATTAACGCATTATATAATTGATAAACAAGTAAATTAAATAATTACTTTTAAAGATTTTTAAAAATTATATTATATAGACATCTTTAAGTTGATCATCTATCAAAAATTAAATTGTCAAATAAACTATTAAAATTACCATAAAAAATATACTATTTAAAATTAGTAATAAAAAAAAATTAATAAATCTCTAATAAATATTTACACCAGTAAATAATTTATTTTACAGTTATATAATAATTAAAAACTCCATTCAATTATATGTACAATTTAAATATATACGGTAAATATATATATAAAGTATAAATATATATTATACTTTAATTATAAAATTATCATATTTGTCAAGTTTTAACATTTTATCCCTTTGTCGTATATTATGCACAGATGGAAGAAGCAATGAATCGCTTTGCCGGTGAATATGAAAAATTTCATAAGGTACAAATGCAGGAAGAAATTCTTTTATCGGAGAAGATTGACACACTCATGAGAAATGTTACAAACGTGACACTGCAGACGGATATCAACAAAGTACATGAAATAGCTATAGAAGTAAAAAGGATATGGAAAATGATGAAAGATTGTCAAGAATCGGGTTTATTGTTGAACGAGCGGCAAAAATTATTCGGCATGGATGTTGTACCGTTCGAGCAATTAAATAAATTGATGAAGGAATTCGAACCGTATCAAACAGTATGGATTACTGCATCTGGTAAAAAAAATTAATATTGTATAAAAAAATTCTAAAATTTTCAATTTAAAATTATAACAATTTCAATAATTTAATATAACAAATTGAGTAAAATATTTGGCATTTTTATATACGTTCAAACGCAGATTGGTTAAATCGGCAAGAAATATGGATGGACAATCCTCTGATAAGTTTCGATGCGAATCAAATTGAAGGTGTGACTGCCGACATGCATAAAGCTATGTCGCATTGCGTGAAAGTATTTCAAGAGAATCCACGTAGGTTGATATTTCGTTTAGAATTTATTGAGTTTTAAATGTATTATCTGCAAGTTGCAAAGAAACTGAAACGCGACGTAAAGAAAAGAAATGATCGGTGTATTTTTTTCGTGGATTATAGAGATGGCTTCTATAGCGCACAATGTAAAGGATCAAATCGAAGCGTTTAAGCCCTACGCCGACATGATACAGGGTTTACGATATCCAGGAATGAAAAGTCGACATTTTGAAAAACTTACTAAAGAAACCGGTATACAAATAGCACTTACGCCAACTTTGACTTTTAAAAATTTACTCGCTCTCGGTGTAATGAAACACGAGAATATTGTGAAGACCGTCGCAGATGCTGCAGCGAAGGAATTCTTGATAGAAAGTACACTAGATAAAATGATAGTCGAGTGGAAAATGATCACGATGGATATATTACCTTACAAAAATACGGGTACACAAAAACATAGACTTTTAAATTCATTTTAAGCAAACTCATATATCAGATACAAAGTTTTACAATCTGTTGCATTTTTTTACTAAATTAGAAATTAGAAATTTAACATTAATATTTTCGTTATCTAGCATTTTGATAAAAATGGAATAAATTAAACTAAAATAGGTATCAAAATGTTTTATTTTGTTAAATGTTACAATTTTCTCTTGTTTTATATTATTATTTCCCTTACATTTAAAATATTAAAATTAATAAACAAAATTTGATACTTATATATACTTATATATACTTTACAACGTAAATAATACATTAATTTAATTTGAAATATAAATAGTATTTTAATTTTTATATAGATAAATATATTATAAAGATTTCCGAAGAGATTATTAGCCTCTTGGACGACGATATTCTTAAAACTCAACATCTTAGTTTTAGTCCATTTAAAGCTGTTTTTGAGAGCCAAATCGATGAGTGGGAAGCTAAATTGAGATTAATTCAGGAAGTGATCGCGTTATGGATGGAGGTGCAAAAGTAACAATCACATCTCTTGACTTCTGTTTGCTATTATACGTTGGGATATATTCGTATTGATTTCGTATACACAGGCAATGGATGTATTTAGAACCAATATTTGCGTCTGAAGATATTAATCGGCAGTTGCCGGTGGAATCGCGTAAATTCCATACGATGGAGCGCAATTTGAAGCGAATTATGAAAAACGCTCGTGATTGCCCATATGTATGTAATACAAATTTATTTTTACGTTTTGCGTGCATTTCTCCATTTCGCCGATACGTATTAAAGCATTGATAATTCTAAATAAAAGATCGATTTATCTTTCATTTAAAAAATATTTATTAAACTGAAATATTTTATTAATCTTTTCAATCTAGCAGATATTATTAATTTTAATTTAATAGATACAAATGTAATTAAATTTAGCGTGCAATTAAATATTATTGGATTAATTTTATTTCCGCATATTATCTATTATTCAGCTTTCAAAAATAATAATATATTTTAAAAACATATTTGCATTGATCAACAATTTGTTAGCTGCTTTTTAATGCAATACATTCGTTGTTCACAATTGTTTATTGCGTCAATTACATAAAACTTAAATATCAAAGAGAAAGAAAGAAAGAGAGAGAGAGAGAACAGATATTAATAATAGATATAGTAAATGATATTTATATTAGATAGATATAATAAATATTTAAATAAAATTTTCTTAGAAACTTTGTTGTACATAATACAGGTAATTATCACGTGCGCGGATAAGACGTTGTTATCGAGCTTGAAGGAATGTCGATTAATGTTAGAAACTATTGAGAAAGGTTTGTCCGATTATCTGGAGACCAAACGTATGATCTTCCCGCGCTTCTTCTTCCTGAGCGACGATGAACTTCTCGAGATAATTGTCCAGTCTAAACAAGTTCAAGCGGTACAACCACATCTAAAGAAATGCTTCGAGAACATAAGGGAATTGAGATTTGAGAATCCAGATCTCAGGATAACGAGGATGTATTCTGCTGAGTACGAGGAGGTTTTATTAAGGCCGCCAATCTGTCCTCAGGGAAATGTGGAGAATTGGCTGGGACAGGTCGAAGATGCGATGCGCAATACTCTACGAGAGATCATCGGCGAGGCTCTTGAAATAATAGAAAGAACACCGCGCAAGGAGTGGGTGTACATGTGGCCGGGCCAGATAGTTCTCTGCGGAGGTCAAACACATTGGACCGCCCGCGTGGAGGAAAGTATCACGAACGACGCACTAGCCGACTATTACAATTCGATGTTGCTGCACGTACGTATCATACTGATTACATCACTATATCCCACAAGACAAACACGAAATGCCTGTGTTGCAAACGAACCACGTAATATTTTCATCCAAATTGGATAAACGTTTGACAACGTTATTACTTCGCTTCTACTTTAGAATCTCGAGAGTATTAAAACGTGTTAGCGTTAAAGCACTTCAAAGTCATGAATAAAGAGAACCTCTTTCTCAGTTTTTCTCCCTCGCTTGCATTCTTTTATGCTTGCATTACTTTATTTAAAGTTTATTAAGTAAATGCATCTCTCGACTTGCACTACCTTTCTGGTATGGTGGCATTCTCTTATGCGATAAAAAAATTCAACAATTATTCAAAGTAAAGGATCAACCTACTTTTTTTGAAACTGTACACTATGCATAATTTTAATGAGCGTTAAATCGAAAAAATTTCTTTCTTGAGAAAAAGGAGAAACATCAGCGTGTATAATATGTTCATTTACTATGTACATCAAAGGTAGTTTAACATTATTGCTTTTTCTAATAGCTGAAAAGTAACCTGCTGATTGCATATGCTTGTGTAATATTTCATAGCTCGAAGAGTTGCGGAAATTAATATGCAGTCCGCAAACTGAAGTACAAAGATTGATGCTGGAGGCTGTAATCACAATTGAAGTTCACGCCAAGGATGTTTTGTATAAATTGATCCAAGAGAGAGTGATCAATGTCAATGATTTTGAATGGATCTCTCAATTACGATATTATTGGGTTGACAATAAGGATTTGAAGATTCGTGCAGTAAACGCTGAATTTTCATATCAGTAGGTTTATCTTATACTTGATAAATTATTTCCTAAAACTATCGAAGAAAAGAGATACACACACTGTTAATAAATTTTATTTTAAAATTAAATTTAACAAAAAGGAGTAAAATTAAAAACAAATTAATTAAAAAATGTAATGAAATGTTTCTAAGAGAATTAATTTAGGCTATATATATTATATATTAACTTTTTTACTGAATTTTATAGAAGTTTTTATAACAGTACGTAACGCACTAAATTATTGCGTTAAAACGAGTGCGTTGCAGCTAACAAAATAACAAAGTTTTTAAGCATGTTAAAACTTATGTGCCAGTTCGAAATTGTTTACCTCTTCTATATTAGGCAACCTGTTTTAACTTTTAACTACTGCTTACTGCTCTTACGATGATACTGATGATACTCTAATTGTAATTCTAAATTCAATTTTAGTACTTTTAGGGCTTAATTCGGATGTAAAAAGAATATTGCAGCAAACTCTCGTAGAAGCTTGCTAAAAAGTAACGTCTTATTACTACGTAATAAATTCCCTTTTGAAACCATATTACCTAAATATTAGCCGTATAAAATATGTATACTTATAAATAAAGTATTTTTCTCTTAGTATGTATTTTGCCTAGCAATTTTGATTATTTAAGGAAACGAGAGTAGTGCTGAAATTTTAAACTTTTCCTCGAGGAGTACTGCGAACACATTCAATCTTACAGTTCCCTTTTACATCCGTTTATCATTTTAAAATCATATAAAAATTTATATTCTTACAATGGTCGTTTGCATTATTGATTTCTAATATAAATTGACATACTTTGCGTTTTCGAATTCTAGCTGATTGTGAGTTGTGAATTTAATCTTTTCATTTGTCTTATGATATATTTTAATATTTTATAATATGAAGAAACTTTATCAATATTCGTAAATTAAATACATTTTTTGTTCAAAATATATTTAATTAAATGCAAAAACACAAATAACATATTTTAACAGCTATTTGTAACTTTCTTACAGAAGTTTTTTTATTATCTTTGCTATGGTTCTTTTCAATTTCAGAAATTATTAATTTGTAATTCAATGTAATTGACTTTCAGCTAATATATTACATATATAATTGCTCACTGACAGATTTATAAATTCAGTTTCAATAGAAATTTATCTGTAATAAACTCTACATTAAATTATTATATTTTTCTTGTCCTTTACAGATACGAATATTTAGGTAACAATGGAAGATTGGTAATTACACCATTGACCGATCGTTGCTATCTCACTCTTATTAATGCATTGCATTTGAAATTTGGCGGTGCACCAGCTGGTCCGGCAGGTACTGGCAAAACAGAGACCACAAAGGATCTCGCGAAGGCATTCGCGATTCAGTGCGTGGTTTTCAACTGTTCCGATCAGCTAAATTTTCAATCTATGGGCAAGTTTTTCAAGGGACTCGCCAGGTAAGGCAAACATTTCAATTAGCGGTTCAATTATAAGTTACGTTAACACCATGAGTCAAATTAATTTTCAGTAGTAATTACTTAGTTAAATTAACTTTGCGCTATTGTACAGCACCGGTGCGTGGGCGTGTTTCGACGAATTCAATCGAATCAATATTGAGGTTTTATCTGTTGTAGCGCAACAAATCATGACCATTCAAAAAGCACAACAAACACAAGCAAGCACGTAAGTAAATCGAAATAAAAGCTCGATGTAGAATGGCTTAAAGTAATTTGGAAATCGGTAATAAAATGAAGTTAACAATGGCATCTTTCAGGAAAATCTTAAATTGTCATGTAATTTTAGAGACACTTTCCAATATTTGTTAGTTCAAATACGTTTCATTAATATATGTTTCCTAAACATATCTAATGTTTTTATATCGTTTTTGAAAACATAATATAAAATCAATCACATGTGCTTGGGTTACCATTAACATACAAGCGGTTAAAATATTTAAATGTTAATTTAGTTACAAAGCCGTTTATGGAAGTAAGATAAATAATTTATTAACTTTTTTTAAATCTTTCTAACAAAAAGTAAATTTTTACATTTATTAAAATTTATATTTTTTTCATTCCTACTATGTTTCCTATTCTATTATATGCATATATGTATAATATACACACGTACATCAAAATACACTGATCTCACGTGTAAAATTCGCGTGAACTCGCAGATTTCTTTTCGAAGGAATCGAACTTGTATTGAAGCAATCCTGCGCTGTATTCATCACTATGAATCCTGGTTATGCCGGTCGAACGGAGTTACCTGACAACTTGAAGGCACTTTTCCGGCCGGTCGCTATGATGGTGCCAAATTATACTCTTATCGCTGAAATATCATTGTTCTCGTACGGCTTTGTGGATGCTGGAAATCTTGCCAGAAAAATCACGACAACTTTTAAACTGAGCTCAGAACAACTAAGCACACAAGTATTTTTGTTTTCAATTTTTTCCTGCTTTTCTTTTTTTTTCTTGAAAAATATACATTTCAATAATAATTACTGTCTATTTCTTGGAACTGTATAAAACATACATATAAAACATTCGTTAAAATTGCATTGAAACAACCTTATTATGACAGATTGTTATATATAATTAATTATCATAAATTAAATGTTAAATTAATATACATATATAATTAATTTATGTTACAAAAAATATTTCTACAGACATATTGTAGCTATGTACTAATTAGTTAGGTTCTAAAATTAATTAATTTCGCGATTTTAATTAATTGTGTCTAAAATATAATATGACAGGAGCATTACGACTTCGGTATGCGTGCGGTAAAGACTGTTATTGCGACTGCTGGCAATTTGAAAAGAGAGCAGAAGAATCTTGAAGAGAACCAAATTTGCCTGCGTGCCTTGAAAAGTGTAAATGTTCCTCAATTTTTGAAGGACGACTTGAAATTGTTTAACGGTAAGTTAATTTTTATTTCTGGAATTTTGAATAATATACAATTCTTTTAAATAAAAACATACATACATATATACATATACCTATAAGCATTTATATATACTCGTATATAACGAAATGCTTTTGAATCTACGTCATAATATATGCCTTTCTTCATGAAAAAGAAATTAACAAATTCACCCATTATTTCTGTTTTCTTCTAGGTATTGTATCAGATCTCTTCCCAGGACTCACCGAGAAACCAGTGGACTATGGGATCCTAGAAACAAGCATCCGCAGATCTATTCAACAAATGGGTTTAGAAGACGTTGATGGTGAGTTTAGTTTTCTACTTTTAATTTACATTTAACGTGCGTTTTCGCATTTAAATAAATTACATTAGTCGAGCGCGACAGAAAGAAAACTACTTAGTTTATAAATATTTTAAATATTTTGATACAGAGAAACATAAACGAAAAGGTCTATTATGAAAAGATATATTTAAAAAATATTTAATTTTGAATAAATCCTAAAAAATTTAAATATTTAGTACATATAAAAACATCTAACTACTTTCAAAGTTTACTTATACTCAGTTTAAGTCGTCGCAAGTATAATTTATATGTATTTTGTTATATTTTGATTAAATATAAATGTCCTAATGATTTAACTTATAAACTTATGTTATGTATACATATAACAGAAAGTTGAATTACACTACATGTAAACAAATTTTGAAAATAATGTTACGGTACTGTTTAAAGATATAGATAAGATATAGTGAAAGTATATAAACTAAATAAAGTATGTAAAATTTACATACTTGCAATTAATGTTATATTTTACAGCAGTAAGCAGTATAACGAATAATATGATATATGTAACTTAAGTTGTTTTAAATATGAATCCCTTAATGCTTAATTATGAAACAAATGCTACATACGCGTTTAAATGTATAAATTAATTTAATTTTTTATTACTTTAGCTTGCGCTTAAAAAATCAAATAAATTGCTTGTTAAAGCTGCAATAGCCGTTCTCTCTCTTGCGGTTAAAGGATTGTTTGACTCTTCTTTTTATTTATGAAGAATTTAATTAAAATACTGACATATTTCAGGGACGGGGGGAGGGGGCGTGCGATAATTCTTATTCTTTCATTAATATATACTTTTGAATAATACGCAAAATTAAATATCTTAATATACATTACTTTAATAGATGTAAAATTACATAAATTGTATTGAATATTTAAACAGAAAATATTTTCTGATGTGTACTTAGTAGATATTATATAACGCTTATATTATATAACGATTATATTACAATTATTCAATTAACTTTGCATAAATGCAGAAACTAATTAGAGATTCACATAAACCAAAAATTTAATTACAGCAAAAATTTCTCTTTCTCCCACATACGGGGATTAATATAAATGAAATGCATTTGTCAATTATAATGTCAGGTTGTTGTATTGATATTGAAGAGTTTTATTTAAAAAAAAATTTTATATCTTTTACGTTACACAAATAAACATTGAATTATCAGTTATTTTTGTCAGTCTGTAATAAAATGACAGTTTTTTTCTAAAAAATAACACTATACATATAATTAATATAAAAGTTTATATGTACATACATATATAACTGAGATTTATAAATTTTTTATTAATGTATAAATATTTTTTAATTTAAATTTGTGTTAAATTTTCTAACAACTTAAAAATATGGATGTATAGAAAAGAGAGAGAACAATAAATTTTTATTAGGAAAAAGAATGAACTTTATTAGTTTATCATTACAATTATTAGTTCATCATTGCACTTTACATTCTTTTATCGCATAAGTGAGAGCGTGTTCGCGTTAATATCTATACTTTGCGAAATTATGGAAATCATGAAAATAAACGCAATGTGCGAAACGTGTCTTCGCACTAAAGCATCCAATTTGAAAGCGCACGCTAAATGTGATGACGCGGATTGGATCGATACCGGCATTCACAGCTTTCGTAACTCGTCCGACCATGCTTCGTAGATTCTATTGAGGCTGTAACTCTAATTACAGACTTTGTGAGAAAGGTGGTGCAGCTATACGAAACTACATTGATGCGTAACGGATTAATGCTCGTGGGTCCAACTGGTTCAGGAAAGACTAAGGTAAGTGTAGTAAGGCTATAGGACAAGCACTTAACGAGATGATTATGTCTGTTATTTTAGTAAATCTCAAGATGAAAATTTTTTTCTATTTCTTGACTGATTGTGATTGTTTTATATTCCGATCTTTGTACAATATTTCTATATGTTTCAAAATTAATTCATTTTAAGTAATCGACTGTGATCAAATTTACAAGTTCGATTAGATCAAATAATTTTACCATTTTAAAGAATCTCTTCGGAGATTTGTGAGTGGTTTAAAGCTTTTCTGATTGCTTAAAAAATTTTTTGCATTTTAGAATACTCGAACAAAAATTATATAATTTGTTTTAATATTATAAGTTAAAATTTTAATTGAATTTAGTTTTTTAAGATTGAAATTCTTTAGATTATTTAAATAGATTGAAAAATATTAGACGGTTTGACTTTTACAGAATATATTAAAATAGCGAAACAATTCTGAAACTCGAGTTTTAGATTTGCATTTCTAAGTACAATATAACTTTACATGCAAATTTACTTTCCAAAGTATAACATAATTTTCATTTTTCCGTTTTTCCACTTATGTAATAACAATAAAAGTAACATAATAAATTTATATAAGGAAAAGAAGAAGTTTACAAATTGTCCAGCATTTAGAAAAATGTATTATTTTTATATATACAAAATGCATACAAAATTTGTACATAATTCCAGCAGAAAAACAAATTATTACATTTGCAAAATATTATATGGTAGAAATGCATAGAATTTAAAAAATTGATTTAAAACACTTTGATTAATCTGAGGTCTAAATAATTCTTGCACATAATAAATAAATAAACTACAAATTCGCGCTTGCAAGTAAAATTCTCTATGAAGCTAAGCTGCTTACGTACTTAAATATTCCAAATTATACTTTTACCTTTTTATTTATTTATTTTAAAATTAAAAATTTTTTAATGTGATAAATTAGAAATTTCACAAATTTAATTTCTTTTTTATATAACAAGAACAATTTTTATGCTATTATATGTCTATGTCACTATATATAACATATATTATTATATATAAATATGTTATAATATAGAAACGCAACGATAGTTATTTATACGTGATATTTAATACTTTAAAAAAATTTAATTACACTATGTAACTTTTATGAGGCAAAATCTCAGAGAATGTTATTAGTGGTGATCGATGTGGTTATCTGCCACAATACCTTTTAGGTAAATTAAAATGTTTATTAATATCACATATCTCTTTCATATGTACTCTTATATGTAGGATGTATGTATGTACAGGACATATAATACACTTGGAATGTCGGTCTGAAAAAAATTTACGTACGTACTTTTCTGTAAAGAAATATAATACTCATTATACATGAACACATATACATCTCTTTAAAATATTTAAAAAATAATTTACATAGGAACCAGGAATAACATTACTATTTTTTCAAGTCTGTTCAAAAAACAACATTGATTTATTTACATAACATATAAATAAGCAACATATCATTAAGAGAATAATATACATAAATACATAACGTATTATATAAAATATATGTATAATATATACATAGACGTAAATGCTACATAGGTCGTTGTACTTACTTAAATTTGTCATATTTGTTTCAATCAATACAAAGGAATCACATGTAAATAAATTTAAAAACATAAAAATTAATTTTACAACATTTTGAAAGATTAGCATATAATATTATAAACTATTAATTAAATTCAGATTTGCATTTAAAGATTTACTATACTATAGAAATAATTATTATCTACAACGATTCAATTTTTTAGTAAATTTAAACAAAATGATATGCTTAAACAGACAATACATCTGACATATGATAAAATATACAGTCATAGTGAGATTCTGTTTGTTTAACAACTTTAGCCAATAGCCTTTAAAGACACATATGCACGCAACACACATACATAATATATACATGTATGTTTAATACACGTTTTTTTCTTAAACATATACAATATGCTATATACAGGAATGCACAACACGTTAACCATGTTAAAATATGTATCGTATATATGTATATATATATATATATATATGTTGTACTTTACGGATTTTTCACTTATCTTAAATTCTATTCTTATTTTTTAAAACGCATATGCTCTATATTGAGTAACAAATATGGAACAGGAGCACGACTGATATAATTTTATAAAAAAGATACAGAGATTTGTAGAATATTTGTTTATATTTACACATTACATATTCCATTATAAATTATTTGATGTAATTATTTACTAATATATAGAATATTGATAAACATTAGCATGTGTTTGCGCGCGCGCGTATGTGTATGTGTGTAATATGATGTTTAGTGACTTTTAAAGTCATTTTCTTCATAGCGACGATGTAACGTCAATATAGAATCCATTTATCGATTTTACTTTTAGAATCTCGTTCTTTTAGAATGGATTTCTGCTGTATTTTAATGACATATTACGCAACGCGCATAAATAATTATCGAGTTTAAAAAATTCTTTTTAGATATCGATAAGGAATAACAAAACTGATTAGCAACTTCATAATTTGTATGATGTACAAATTATGTTGTACAATGCATTAAAAATTTTTAAATGCAATATATGAGACATTTAATGTAGAAAAAAAATTTTGAATAGCCGAATTAATTAATTTGATTAAAACATTTTATGGTTATATATTTATGAGTTTAATTTATAAATTATTTGTACATGTAAAGAAGTTTAAATATCACCCATTCTGTTATATATTTCAAGAAATGACACGTGTAGAAACTTATTTGCGCAAAAAGAACGCATAAAGTATATATTGGACATGTGTATTCGTATTGACGCCACTACTGAAAGATAGATATTATAACTGCAAAAGCTTCGACAAGGGTTTTACTCGAAGATGACTGAGTAGCAATAATAAATGCGTCAAAAGAAAAATAAAGTTTTGTGTTCATGTATTAAATAAGCAATTATAATACTTCTTATCAATACCGTTCATCTACTTAAGGATCATTAAATTTGTATCTTTGAGCCTTTTGCTGCTTCTTCATAAATACATATACATATATAAGA